TGCGGAGTTCCCCCCGGGATTGCTTCCAACTAGTTTAGGATAAAGCCTCATTTACCAACCTTTTTAAACTAAGTGTTGACAGGTACAAACACGACTAATAGGCACGTGACCTTGGAATTTGTTTGAACAACACGTTTTCCCTCTTTTCTCTCTCGCCGCTGTGTTTGGACATTACCAAACTTTGAATGAGCAAATCTTACTTTTGCTGCACTGAGTCTTGCATTATTGAAGGTGTTCGCAGTTATTTAGGGTGTTTTATGCTGTGGTTGGTGTTTCAGGTAGCCAGAAAGGTGACAATTTTTGAGCAATGGATCGTGTTTTGATTGGTCCTTTTGACATCACCGCCGTCAGTCAATACTTGTGGCAACCTCGTTCCCGGGGGAGAGAGAACCTGCGAACGAGGTTGTACTTGTTGGGGTAGGTGGGCGGAAGAGCCAGAACAATGGACTGGCCGTGGTAAGCGCTTTATTTTTCTCCTCCACTCGTTTCGCGCTTCGTGCAAAATGCCGTGTTCGGCTCGCTTGGCTCACAAAGCACCTGTGATCTAACTCACTCCCCACCACCTGAACGCCTGGAACAGGCTTACTGATTCAAAATCTCGTTTCATTTTGTCGTCTTCGTGGATAAACTCTGATTGGTGGAAGGATGCCGTGCGGAGTAGTGCCATGTCATGTTCTGATTTTTTTTTTCCTAGTGGGTAAAAAAACTGTGGAGGATTTCAAACTTAAACTGCGCAAGTATTATCATTGCTGTTTGCCTCACATTCAGAGAGGCCATTTCCTGAAGGTGCCTTTTTGTTTCTCAACCTCGTCCCTTTTTTGTTACCCATGTTTTGAGGGAAAAGCCCTGGGGACGAGGTTGTTTGTTTCTGTCAGAAATTGACCTCTACCGATTTGCTGCTATGCTTTGTCGCGCGTTGATTTCAGGATATTGAATTTTTTACGGATAGTGATTTCTTGTCCCGAATAAACATGACAAAAAACGGCGGGGTCTGTAGGACTGAACGACTTTTACCTCATAATGTAAAATGTCATTTGTTCAGATTCTTTTCTTTGTAGCAGCCGAGTAGATTATGCTGTGGAGGTCGTGGGGCAAATCTTATTTTTGCCGCTGGTTTCACGTTAAAAGGTCATGCATATGAAGCTGACCTTTCCTGTTTTATTTCCTGGGGTTTCTGTTTCTAGGTTTTAATCTTTGGTCCGATGCAGTTAAAGCATTCGAAAAGCATGTTCTTTAGCTCCGCGGGTAGAGGACGACGACGTGAAAACGTTCAAATGATGAAAAATGAACTGGAAAGAATCCACTTAACTCTTCACCTGCGGGAATGACAAGACATTTGAGTTGTATGCTGAATGTTTCAAATAAATAAAGTATTTTTCTATGCTATCTTTCCGCGCATTGTTTATTACTGAGCTTTGCTTCGGCCGATTGCCGCAAGTGGCTGCCATCAAACACTTGTCCAACTTCTACTTATTTCCAGTATCTCTTCAGTCAAGTTTGTTTTGTCTTGGTTTTGACCACACCCAATCACAAGGCCGAAACCGATATCCAGAAATGGCTATAGCCCGGACTTATAAAGATTGAATTAGGGAATAACGAGCAGGGTATAAATATATTTATTATTCAGTTAAAATATTTCCCCGATTCTGATTGGCTAAAAGCACACGCATAATTCACCATAACCAGCTACTGGTGACCAAATTTGGAAGAATTTTGCGATTAATCAACCGATGACGTCAAAAGTGTAGCTTCCTTGCAGGTTAATGCACCGTTAACTGAGAAGACCTGGAAACGAGAATGGGTTGCTTTGGATGTGAAAACAAAATGGAGGACATTTCACTCGTTTCAAGAGTAAAAACTAGGCGAAATAATAGCTAAAAACATGGCAAAAAAAGCAAGAAGACCATCTCCAAGGGCGACATCTGCTAGCTGGAGAATATTTGCGGAGCTGAACAATCCTAAACATGAGCTATCAAAGATGAACTTAACATCGATGGAGGTAAGCATGTTGTAGCTATGTTTTTAAACTAGAAATTATTTTGAATGAATAATAAAACAATTATTTAATTCGGCTTTCGTATCATATGAAGAATTATGGAGATCTCGGAGGATAACACCCTCCTCGCACTCCAAAATTCTTCACAAGATAATCATCCTCATCATTAACTGTTAAATATACACGCCTGATTTGTTTGTTAACTAAACAAGAAAATTTAAAAACTAATCGATCATAAGAGTATAGAACACTAGGAACCAAACCACCAGATGCCTGAAACAGCAAACGACAGTACTGACATAACCTGCAAACCGCAGACGTATTTGCGGTCGTCGCTTCTCTTCCGAAACTAGAGCCAAAAAACGGATGCCCTCGCAGGCTAGTACTGACATCGGTAACATTACGCTTTGAAATTATATAGCAAAGATAAGGAACCATAATGTAATGGTGTAGTCCAGTCTCAAGATGGTTTGTTTACACTGAATGTAGAAATGATTTCTAAAATATAGACGCAACAGGTCACGGTAGGAACTCTGGTCTAATAAACCTTAAAGCCTGATGAAGGCCATATCATAAAATTTATTTAACCAACAGAGGGTGAAGAGAAAGACAGCAAATGCCCCCATAGACCCTTCTATACGCAATCCCTCTGAGGGTCAGCTCTCTCTTGGTTCGGGTTAGAGAGCTTAAGCGCCAAATTTGTGAGAAATTCAAACTAAGATCTTTTTAAGCTTCAATACTGTAACTCTGAAATTTTCAACAGTGGACTAGAGGGTCCATTTTTCAAAAAATCACGTGTTTAGTTTCTCATATCTTGACACTATTGCCGGGAAATGACGTCGGAAATTTGTCACCAGAACTTGGTCTTATATCATAATGGGACACCTTAAAAAGATCACTTTAAAAGGCCACCAAACTATAAAGAAATAAAACATGTCCATCCAAACAAAAGAATATAACATTGTAAAAATCTGACATTCAAACCTTGTTGCAAAAATTTGCTTTGCTTAGTCTTTTAAGGCTACGAAAGCTAAGTTACTCTAAAGAAAACGAAGTAAAAGGATACACTCCGTAAGATATTTGACATAATTTTACGAAAAATAAAGAAATATAATTATATATATTTTTCGAAAAAACACCGATCAGCTAAACAGTACATAGGTTAACTAAGGATTTGAGTAGAGGACTAACATGATTAGAGAGAGAACTTAAAAGAGGGGCCTTAGAAACAACAAGATTTGACCACAGTTATGGCTACGCCCACCCCGATAAAGGAAAGTTGAAGACTCTTCCTTATCTTTCAAAAGGAAAAGACAACGAAGAACAAAAGCGTAAAAGGCAAACTGTAATTAATTTTTATACCTAGCAAATTGTTCATCCGTTGAGATACACCCGTTCAAACGGCTTGGTTCACCCGTTCAAAAGCCGTGTCTTTGATCTCCTGTTGAACGGCAATCCGTTAGCGTTGGTTTTAGCGTAAATGCTAATATTTACGATCATGTAACAACATTGAGTGTCTACTCAAATCTTTTTTGAGGATTTGTCGAATTCTATCTACAAGCTTTTCACTCTGTGTCTCCCACTTGTACTCTTTGTCATACGACTTTCGAAGAGAACAAGCCTCCTTTAGCCGGAGTTTCCTTTCTTTCTGTCTCACATGTCTGATAGTTTTACGCCACTCTTCAGGATCATCGGACCACACCACACTCGCAGATCCGAATTCTACTTTACGGATAGCTTGACCGAACCCCGAATTGTTACTTACCAAAATAGGAAGGCCAGCGGAGAGTGCTTCGAGAGCTGTGAGGCCAAAGCCTTCCGTTCGTGACGGCATAATGGCGAGATCCGCCTCACACAAGAATTTTTTTAATTCCTCGCGACTCTCAGTAAAGCCTCGCACAGTTAACTGTGTGTGAGAAATGTCACACTTCAGTAACCTGTTTTTAACTTCTTCTTCGTTACCTTTTGGTGCCCCGACAAACTGAAGAAGGTAGCTTTCGTCTTTTAAGCTTGCTATAGCTTGAGCAGCTATATCATATCCCTTTAGTTTAAAATCTTCCAAGTTACGACAACCAAACACTAAGATGCGGAACTGTTCTCTCTCCTGACTGGCTTGCTCCAACTCTGCGAACTCCGAAAAAATACCAGGTGTGATATCTATCACACGTTCATCTCTGCCGCACCACCGAAGATTGGCTGAGACAGTTTCCTTTAGCTTTGGTCCAATGGCCACGACGACGTCAGCTTCCTTACACAGATACATTTCAGTTCGGTGCTTCCCCTCGCCTTCAGGGAGCACTGTTTCACCTTCCTTCAACATTGCAAGCTCTTCACTGGCGGTGTGTACTATATGAACTCTCTTGCAGTTGCGCTGTTTAGCTATGATCTGAGCTGGTACTCCAAGCTCATGACCATGGCCTACAACAACATCAATATCAAGATCTTTAGGAGGAAAACACAATTTCATGATGGGATCAGACACGAGCATCGCCTCTGGTGTTACAAGGCACACATTAGATTCATTAGCTTCTTTCTTCTCCAGTTCAGTGTATTTTGGCAGTAGGATAGTTACTTCAACCTCAGGCTGACGTGCAAGGTTTTTTGCTAATTCCCTGTTCAGCGTAGACAATCCGCCTTTCGATGATTCCCATTCACCTCCGACTAGTGTTATCCTTAAAGGGCGTCTCACGAAAGAGGCTGACCGTCCATCAGTAGCGCTTTCCTGAAGACGGAGAGAGAGAATTAAAAGAAGTCGATTTTCACGTGAGCTGATAATGGTAAACATTAGTTATATTAATCAAAATAACTGAATATACTGTAACAACCGTACTTTTACGAATCTTTCCTGGTGTGCTGCCCTCAATTCTTGATGTCCTTTAAGTTCTACCTCCACTTCTTCATCTGCAACATTCCGAGTTTTGCTTAGGGCGTACTGATTGTGACGTAGCTCTTCCGGGTTTAAAGCTCCATATTCAAATGTTTTAACGACTTTTAGTTGCATCAGCTGAATATTCTTCAGCTGTGTTTTTATGTCCTGTTCACTGTCAGCCCACTCAATCAAGACATCAAGGTAATCTTGCTCTCCACCCCCCTCTGCCTTCAGTCTGTCAATTTCTGCTTGATCTAAACCCAGAGAATGAAGAGTAGTGCTTAATTCCTGCCAGATGGTAGAGAAAGACGTCTCATCTACACCGGTGGTTGTCATGTGACCATACAGCCTATTCCGAAAGAACTTAACGCGAGCAAGGTTAGCCTCGAGAGATTTGTCATTAGGGGATGGCTTGGTATGCCATCCTGTTGGGGGAGGGGATAAACCACAAATGTTGGTTAGTAGAAGGAACAGAAGAGTGATGTCAAACGTGTTAGAATCTGGTATCCTTCCATTAGGGGGGAACAGTTTTCCCCACTGATGGCCATTTAGTACTCTTCTACGCAAAAGGTTGTGAAGAGTGTAGTAATTGGCATTGAGACTAGAAGACAAGTTGGCAGGTGGGTGATGCCGATCAAAAATTTTCCTCAGTACTGTTGTTCCACCATCGATAAGGAGTCTGTTTAGCTTGCTTCCATTTGTCTTCTCTCTTGAGCTGGCCAGAGGTGAAGGTTCTGCATTCGCCATTCAGCAACCTTGGTGCAGGAGAAAATGTTTACGTCTTGAAAATTCATTCTTAACCTACGTTGACAAGAATAAATATAAACGTGAGTCACACCACAACCATCAACTCGCTCCGTCATTGTTTTCATTTGTTTTGTTTATTTTCATGATTACAAGACCATGAAACTGACAATTCTGGGAGTATGACTGGAATGACTATTATAAGAATTAAAACCAATGCCTTCAAGAAGGGGGTTTAACACATTAGTTGTCGAGGGTATTTAGTCAACACAACAGCTTAACTTAGCGCATTAGCATGATCCAAGAGCAAATGAAGTCTCAAAGTTCCGCTTTACTGGACATTAGGGAGTAATAGTTTCTCTTTGTGCATAAAAGCAAATACTTAAAGCAATAAAAAGTTTGGACATCATTTATTGCCAGGTCGTTTGTTAGAACCAAGCAATTATACCAGATTATACATTATCGGGTTTCTCTCTTGAAGCAAACTGAATGAACAATATTTCTGAATATTGGTCTATTGAATTTCAAAGAGAACGATAGTGAAAAGACTAATCTAGCTAAGCAATACAACACTTATGTGCAAAACAAATGTGGAAACTGACGACAGCGCAGGCATGGGCCTTAGCAATTTTCTCATATCTGCGACATTCAATACGTGACTTACATGAGAACACTCTGTTCGTCATCATAATCATATTGCCTGTAGTATTTTCAATGTTGAAGTACGGTAATCCATACTGCAGATATTTAAGCTATGATTTAGCTTTCACAGCTTTTAAGTCATTATTTGACTATATCCACTCAGAATCGATATGACCACTGGCTCGTTCACTTGTAAATTCTTTACAAGTTTTCTGATAAATCTGTTGTTTCCAAAAGCAGAAGGGCCGTATTGTGTCATATCCCGTGTCATATGATGAAAGGCTGTCATACAATGGCTGCCGCTGGGTTATCAGTAAACCGCATCAGTTTTCGACGCGCATCATACTCTACGTTTATCGACAAAGGGAAAGCTAAGAAAAGCATAAACTTGAAGACATCTTCAATACACAGAAAAGCTGGGGGTCTCCTGCCTCGGGTTTCTTGAAGGCGGAAATATTGAGATGTCTTCTAACTAGGATCGCAAAGAAAGCAAAGAATATTCTTTCGCTCGATATTTTCAATTTTGGTCATGACTTCTACTTAATATCGAGCACATGAGCTAACGGCGACAGAAAGCTTGGGTCATTATAACTTTCATTGAGCAATTCGCTAGAAGCTAGCTAATAGAGCTTAAGAGCCGGGAAATTTAAGACCAATTGTAATATCTGCTATTCGTTCTCATGCTCTCTGCTGAAAATGTTCTAGAAACTTTGAAAGGTCTGAAAGTTACAAGATGTTGACGTCGATCGGAAGTTTTTTCAGAATCCCAAACGTAACAGAAGTAATCTTAACAAAACTGTACTACATTGTGAAAGTGAAACATCGAGGTGGATACATTTAGATGCCTCAATAAATGCCATGTGAAACGATCTGTGGGGTACACGAGGCTCTGAAACTATATTTGATAAACTTACCTTTCTGCTGCCAAATTCTCTAGCAAAGGCTTCTCTCGTGTAGATCCCTGGACATGTTTCATAAAGAAACAAAGTGTTCTAAGTGACGTGGCCTGCCGATGCGCCTGTGAATCTCAAATTTAGACAGTATGTGTACGACAACCTCTTGTTTGCATTTGAATTTGCATACACTTATGTCGTTAGACTGTTTCGAAAACTTTGCAATTATAAAAAGGAGTGTCATTTACGTTTTGCATCAATGAGTACCAATCGGCAACCGCTTATTTATAATCCAACAAATGGGGGCAAAGAGAGACGCACGAGGGAGGCACGACACACAGGTTATCTCATTTTCTCATAGAACTGAAGCTTTAGAGAAGCTGCTGAGGAGTACGATAACTTTAAAAAATAAAAAGAAAAGAAAAGAAACAACAGCATCACCAGTCAACCACTAGCCTGCATAACAGGTGTCAAAAGGGGTAGGGGATATGGGGATAGGGAAGAAGGGAAAAATGGAGGGGATTGGGAGAGAGATAGAGGACGTTTCTCCCTCCCTTCCCTCCCTTTTGCGCCTTTCACGGTCTGGCTCAAGAGCTTTAATAAACACTGGCAACCAAGGCTCTTAGTGAGTTCTTTGAAATTTTCATTTTTAAGAGAATTTGTGAGAACAAAGAAAATACATTCTAAATAGAATTGAAAATATTATGACTCATAGTTTCGACACTGTTTTTGTGTTTTACAGCCAGTTCGCTTTTAAAGGCATTTCGAAGTGCTTTGGCGAGTTTAGATCTTGAGATGTTTTGAAAAAGAGGAATTTAGAACTTATTTCCTTTGTTCTAAATTATTTTGGGCTCCTGCCATAGTTCCTCTGCCACCGACAAAAATGTCCCCATCTCCACCCCTATAAACAGCAAAACCGAAATAGTTCCAGTTTCCTTCGTCCGATTTGGAACGCCTGGCAAAACGCTGTCAATCGTGCTCCGTTCACGATGCCCGTTGATAACAAGAGAATTGCAGGTCCTGAAATAACGCAGCCAGTTGTTTTGAGAGAAGAAAAACGCCTTCGAAAACCTCTGGTAACCTCGATCGTGTTTTTTGTATGATTTAGTGTCTAGAAGGTGTTAAATTGAAGAGCTTTTGTTGTAGATCAGCAGCGAGGGTCAGCGACAAGATGGCCGCAAAGCGGACGAGCTGCGTCCCATGTGTAAGTTGCTTTGTTCTCTAAGAACATCATTCATTAAAGTTTGAAAACAATTTAACTTTAAATTTTTTTTAAAGATTACGTTATAGACATTAAACGCAAAATTGAATCAACACTACTAAAATTTGTTGCATTGTTTTAATTGAAAAAATTAAAATAGAATGTTAGATTCGACTATCAGCTGCTGATCGGGAAATAAGCCCTCGCTCCTCTCTCGAGCAGTCTTCTCGGGAGAACCGAGAGAGTGACCGAAATCGAGCCCAATAAAATATAGGAAAGTGAAAGTTTTGTCCAGTTTTTCTGACTATAATGTACATGTATGACTGAATTTGATTTCCATTTTTTTTCCAGTTTTGCGGTCAGGAGTGGTAAGTCAAGCAAGGGGATCAGCTTATATTGAGATGCAAAGAACCAAGGTTACATGTGCAGTGTATCCTTTTGCTGAACTACCAACAGCACATGTCACTTGAATGTTGGCTTCTTGGGGTATCAGTAAGCTTCCACTGATAAAACTGTCCTTGACCATATAAAAGTATGGGATAATTATTTTAGAGCTTTACTCAGGGCACTTAGACCTATAATGGAAGGTTGACTTTGACCATGAGACATAAGAAGGGACCTAAAGACCTTTTGAAAGGCAGTATTTTGTCTCTAAACTTCATCTTACCTACGTGTGCCAGTTTGACTTTAACAGAAACTCAGATATGGCCCCAGAGAGTCGTCAAGACAACAAGAATTTCGTCAAAAGGTACAACTGGTAGTAGATAATGTTATATTCTTCAAAGTTTAAACTTATTCTTTATCTGAAAATTTAACTAAATTAATAATACTTATATATTAAAGATGGTGATTTTTTGGACATGCATTTGTTTTTTATAATCAGGATAAAAAGTTTAAAATTGACATGAGAATAAATTATCTTCTGAGGCAGTCCATGTTTTCTTTGTTAGGGGAAACTCACGTGTGAATTTAAATTTGCACCATTTTCTTGCTGGCAGAGAAGACAACATATACAGGTACTGACTGAGTACCACATCTTTTATTGTAGTTCTGATTATCAGTTTAGGTATTGGGATGTTGTGCTTCATTCACTTTTTTTCTGTACAATTCTGAAATAAGTTTAATTTTATTTGGTTGTCATAGTATAACCAGAAAAAACAAAACAACAACGAAAAAAAAACAACAATAACAACAACAATGTGACACTGAACACCTAATGTGATAGTAATTTTTTTCTTCTGAGCTGCCTGTGTTTCTGACTGAATAACATTTCCCTTGTGTATTCACCCTGGGCATTATAATAATATTCACCATCCCGTTTCTATCATGTACATGAGCACACATCGACATTCCAGATCTAGCAGCTTGCAGGATGTTTGACACTTGAACTAAGTTTACAGGCCCTAGCTTTCACAAGTCTCATGTAGCTTAGCGGTGTAGCTCTGGCTATAGTAGCCAGAGGGTCTCCTCTTTTGGACAACTCAAATTTTTTCTTCTGAGTGGCGTACTGTCACTGACTGAATAACATCTCTAAAATATTATACATGGAGGAATGCCTGTTGTGGTCCAATTAATAAATCATGGCAAAGATTAGGCCATTCAAGCAAGCCACAAAACCAGAAAATTAAAATGTAAGCTTGCGGTGTAATTTTCTCATGCCCAATGTTTTCATCAGGATTCAGAAGAGAAAGAGTTTTCCTCTTTTGTTGTGCAAGCCTTGGAGCCAGCTGTTTGCCTGGTAAGATTAATTTTTCTGCTGGTGTTTGTGGTTTAATATGTTTTGTTTTTAAGAGGAAGATAAATAATGAAAGGCAAAGTGGTAGTGAAAATTTCCTGAGCTAAAAAATTAGTAAAGCCTAAACCTGAAACATTCAAATTTTGCACATCGGGCTATAAAATGAATTAATTTTAAAATATTATATTTGGCTCTAAAACTGCCCATCCAAAAGAAAGCAATTTAACATGGTTTTTTCAAGCATGGAAATTACAGCATTTTGTTGTTTAGGGTGATGGTAATCTGGCTCAGTCCTCTATAGAACTGTTGGAAGGATCTTGCTTTCCACAAAATAGGTGCCATGCAAAAAAGGGAATATGTAA